CGTGCGGTATCCAGGTTTTGATAAAGAACATCCTCAATACTGTGAAGCTTGCGAAGTCCTGCGGCGAGGTTTCATCCGAACGGGAAAACCTCATATCGAAGGATGCCTCTGGCGATCGCGCAAGTGAGCATACGCACCCCTTTGAGAAACAATCCTGGAGCTTCTGTCTCGGGGTTAGGTCATCTCACGTTGAAAGTTTGTAGACAGCATGACGCCAGGTTATGTCCGGATCAGTACATGGACGGCGAGTGTGCAACCTGTAAGCATTCAGAGTGGATGTCAGAGGGTTGATGTACTCCAACAAAAGAGTTTGACCTCCGATGTTGAAATTCCACCTGTAATTGCATAATATACGCCTGTACACGCCCACTAACGAGGGCAGTAGTGGTTTCCCCTATTAACACTGAAAGTTCTTGGACATTCGTGTGCAAGGGATACCACGGGCGTAGCAACCCAATTCAGGCACATCGAGAGTATAATGTGTCAATGCTCACAAGGTATGAAGTCATAACATTGATAGACGACACGAGTTATGAAGTGGTTTGAATTTCAAAAACGACCCGATACGCAACAACGCAACTCAGGCGCAACTAGAGTCTAACGTGTCGGTGCTCACGAGGTGTGACATCATGACATTGGTAGCGGACACGAGTTCTGAAGCTGCTGGACCCTCGTGTGCACCATTTATATGGTAGTGCACGTGTGCATCTAGTGACAAAACCTATTCGACGATGTTACCCTCGAGTCTGGCCGATGCGGCAAAACTTTTCAAGCTTCACCCCATCCGCCCTGACGACTTTCCAGTCCAAGCAGCGGCTTGTTCGAGCGTGCCGTTTATAACGGTTCGGTTGCTCCAACCCGTTCGTTCGCAGACAGAAGCGCCAACCCAGTCGGGCAGATCGAGACGAGAAAAGAAAGCCTTCAGCTTCTGTGCTGCCTCCTGTTAGCACAGTGGTCTGTCCCGGTATGACACGCAGGTAGATGCTGCGTGAGTACAGAAAGTTTGAATGAACGGCCATATATGTATGGGATCCTTACCCACGTCGCGTACGTGGCGACATCTCGGGATTCCGCTGTCTATGTGATCGTATGGAAGCAACGCAGAACATTGTCCTTAGTTGTGATGGTGGTTCCGTCCGTGCAACTGACGTCATCCAGATAGACGATAATATTCTGCAACGTCTACACGTTGTCATGGAAGATCTAGAGATCGGCCACTTCATCAAGTTGGACACATGTTTCCAGGAAAAAAACGGAAACTGTTGCTTGTCGGATTTCTCCCTCCACATGCCTTGCAGGTTGCGTGGGTGGTGGGCGCTGGCCACGATCCATAGTAGTGGCAACACCATCGAGCTTCAACGTGGAGCTGCTGTCTGGTGTTGCGGTTCTTGACGTTCTCTCCGTCCTGAACCCGCATCCACGCGATTCTAGTTTGCAGTTTCGTGAAGTCGATCATTCTTACACCTGGAATGGGTGCAAGGTCAGCCTGTCGGTGACAGGGCTCATTCACTCTCTGGTACAGCAGTTCAACCCAGTTCAAGCCCTTCGCGCCATGCGAGGCGGTCGAAATTGGCCTCGTGCAGAGTATTTGGTTCCGAATGCAGTGGAGATACTCCGGAGCAGCCTGATCCATCAGGGGCCACCTGAGACAGAGCTCCGCCGGGTACTAAATTCTCTTCCGGTTGACGTTGAGGCCCTTTGTCGCCGACTTCGGGAACTGATTTGGGCCCGTCCAGGATATAGACAATTGGCGACAGTTGCAAGCCTAACAGACTCGCAAATCCTCCAGCAATGGGATAGGAATCGAAGGGAAGCTGCCGCACAAGGCACGTGGATGCACGCCAACTGCGAATGTCTGCTCAATGGTGGGAGTGTGCCATTCAACACTCCGGAGGTTTGCATGTTCGTGAAGTTTCTCCGTGACTTCCGTTCGGAGGGATGGGTATTCCATAGAATGGAATGGGCTATCTACGCTGATGAGGAGGATCTTGCTGGCTCCATCGATGCCGTGGCGCAACGTGGCACGGACTGGTGTGTCCTCGACTGGAAGCGGACCAAGCAACTGGCTTCGAAAGAAAACAGCTATGGACGTCGTCTTCGGTGTCCGCTGGAGGAAGTGCCCGACTCAGTTGTCTGGCACTATCGTGTCCAGCTGAACGTGTATGCTTGGATTCTCCAGCATTACTGCAACGTAGCGGCCACGGATCTTCGCATCGTCTGTCTTCACCCGGACAACGAATTCTCGCCCCTGGTGATCTCTGTGCCACTTATGCAAGATCACATGGACAAACTCATGTCATGGCGGCGAGCTGACGTGCAATCACGCATGCAACTGTCAAATGTTGCGAATGGTGATCTACGAGGAGGAAGTCAACCAGGTTCGCCATCCTTCTCGCAGCAACTTGGAGAAGAGCTCGAGGACGAGGCTGTGGATGAGCGTGTCCCTGACGAGTTCGGTCAGCCACCAGAACACAAGAGACAAAGAGTCCACGATAACCAGAACGTGGTTGCTTTCGACGCTGTCCCGACACAGTTCATGGAAACAGATATTGTGATGTAAGCAGTCTTCCACATGAAGCACATGAGTCCGTCGAGGACGGAGACATACTGCAACAAGTTCAGCACACACGTGATGTTGTCCGAGGTCATCCAGGGCAAGACACATGGTCGGCTGAATTTCGCCATGTGCTGGAGGGGGCCTTGGCTGTGCATCGGCTCCGGTTGCTGGATGTGAGTCGACGAGAAGAAGTTCTGTTCTTGGAACTCATCGAGGGATGCGGTCGTCATATTCGTGCTCACGACGGGCAGTGTTTCTTCTACACTTCTCACGGACACTGGGCGGCTTACAATGGCGTGATACCGCAGGGGACTTTGGCCCGCTGCAAGAGCTACCTGATGTATCTGGAAGGGTTGTATTCCAAGTTTGGTCCGAATACTCCCCGGAATGAAGACGGCATTCTTGCAGCTGCCCAGGCGATCCTCTCCGAGCACAACGGTTCCTGCGCAATGTTATTGAGCGAGTGTGCGCGAGCCGCCATCTGTCGCGTGCCTCCTGCGAATGCGAAGTCGAAGCAAGCCGGTCAAGAAAAGGAGGAAGATGAGGAACACGGCAAAGGCGGCTATACATCGTGGACCACGGCAATGGCCAACACTATTGGCAAGCTCTACGTCAAATTGCCTCTAGTCTGCTTCAGTTGGCTATTTATTTCTAATGCTCTGATAACATGAGGGTTGTTCTCTCCATCCCGCCGGTCAGGCAGACATCGTTGCTCAATGACACCGTGATCAAGTACTACGTGGCGTGGTGTTCGAAGGATGTTCAGCGACAAGGCGGCTTCTGCACGTTGGATGGATGCTTCGTGTTCGAACAGGATGGAGGGCTCATCACTGTGGCCAGAAATCCGGAAGCCAATGTCTACATCTTCATTCCCCACCGGATGCTGGATCCGATACCGGAGGAGGTGAAACATAGAGTCAAGGTGTTCTGGAATACAACATACTGGGGAAATGGTCCTGCCTTCGAAGTCTGCATGGCCTCCTGGACTCTCGCTCTCAGAGGAGAAAATGTGGACAGAGCATTCTGGGGTATCGGATCCGGAGGTGTAGGACAAAGTTTGCAGACGGCTCAGGATCACGGCGGCCGATGCGCGAGGATATCTACAAAAGACATATCTCGGCCGATAAGGTTCCGGAACGGCTACCATACGCGATCGACACAGCGCTCGTCGAATTGCGAGGATGGAAGCGTTTCGAATTGAACACTTATCCGAAGCTTCTTGATCCGCAACCATTGCTTTTGTGGTGTGTTCCCCATGTGAAAGTAAAACCTATTCCTCTGTTTCCTTCACGCAAGGTTCAGTGGAGTCACTGAAGAAACACTGGACTCCATGCTACGCCGAACCGTTGCTTGCCGATACAAGGCCTGTTTTGTGGATCCTCAGCGAATTGCGGGCAAGGAGGCGGAAGCTGCAGCCAGTGGAGTATTTCCACGTGATCCGACGTTAAAGGATTTCCTGCGAGACAAACCAGCCTGCTTGGTGACTCTTCGCTTCCTGTGGAACTACGCCCGAGGACATACAGCTGATCAGTGTCGCACTGTTCTGGAGAACTACGTCGTCCACGGCGGCGATGAAGGCCTTACAAGGATTGCTGTGCGCACAAGCTGCGGTCTCTCGGTCGATAACGAGGGAGTGTCCGATCGAGTCCAGCAGGTCCTCGCAGCTTTGACTGTCGAGGGAGCCCGTCAGCCGGAGCAAGTAGATGAGATGGCACGAGCCAGGCAAGCGAAGAAAGAGGAACAACAGAAAATCTCGGATGAGATCAAGACATGGCTGCGGGACGAAGGCAAGGATTGGTTCACTGCAGCTCAGGCCAAGGTGGCCAAGGCCTCCGTCAGTTTCGGTCGTGGAGAGGCAGCAAACGTGGTGCAGGAACTAGCTCGAGATGGTTACTTGCTGTCGCAGACAAGAGATCTTCCAAAGGCCGGACGCTCCACTGTTTACACTCCTTGCATTCTCACCAAAAAGACCTTGGCAAACGTTGTTCCTATGCAGCTAGATTCTAATCTGACCTGTGTCGAGGAGTACAGCTGGTCGGGCATGCGTTCTCGTATGAGTCCGGAATCTTCGCGCATGTTGAACCTGCGAACTATAGCTGATGCGTATAGACACAAACCAATCGCGGGTCGCAAGAGGGGCGCTCCCAAGAAGAAAACGACCGAGGACGATAGCGATGCCAGGCTCGCCGAGGACCTCCGGGCTATGGCGAACAAAGAAACGGAATTCTTCAAGGAGATCCAAGAACTCGCAGACAATGGGGAAACAACAGAGGGCGGACTCATTCCCGTGCAGCGTCATTACTACTACCCCTTCGATGGTAGATCTCGTCGTTTTCTGCAAGAACGAGGAGCACAGAATTCATCTCGTCTTGCCCGGGCCATTTCCTGTCCGGACACGCGAGATTTCGACCTTCATGCGGCGATGTTCACCGTCGTGGTGCGTTTGGCTGATGCAGTCCAGGCGGAGAGCCTCGACATCTCGGCTTGGCGCGAGATTGCAGAAGATCGGTGCAAGGTTTGTCTCCGGAAGCTTCACTGTACCGAAGCCGAAGGGAAGCAGATCTTGTTGGAGGTCGCCAACGGTGCGTCCCTGACGAACTACAAGGGTCTGCGGGAAGACAGCGTTGTCTTCCTGAAGAAGCTAGCCAACCAGAGTCGAATGCTTCGATGGCTGGCGTGTTCACAACTGCCGGACGTCTACAAACAGTTGCAGAGCGACAGAAAGGTGACGTGGCCAGAGGCGGCGGTGTTTTCACGCTGGTGGACTGCGGCCGAAGACTTCATCCTGGAGCACATGCTGAGCAGCATTCAAGAGCACAACCTTCGGGGTCATGTGTCTTGTCACTTCGATGGTATCCTTTTGGGACGATCTCTAGCCGAGGCCATCGAGGGCAAGGTCAATCGCAGCATGGTGGACTACCTGCAAGAAAAAAATTTTCCAGGGTACTTCGATGCGTGTTTTCTTGAAAGAGAAGACCTTGTTGTCGTTCGATGCAACATTGACGGCAACCTTCCAGCCCGCTGCACCAGGGCAAGAGCTTGGTGATCGGCTTATGTCGGCTCCGAACTCCATACCTGCTGCACTAATCTTCCTCGGCAGTGACGTCGCTCGTGTCATGGCATGCATACAGGAGGAGTCCCCAAGCAACACAGTTGCCGAAAGACGCATGGTGCGGCAATACGCCGACTGGCACGGTGTGGACAGCACGTACCTTGTGCCTGCTGGGAGGGTTGCCGGAAAGCATGATCAGGACTGTCTCGTGCATGTGGAACTGCCGGACGAGTCTTGTTGTCTCGGCATGAAGGTCGCGTCAGAGGACAAGTGTCTTCTTTTTCGCAAAGGCAGAGTTTTCCACTGTACATGGCCTGCACTGGTCCAATTACTTACTTCCTTCGTCGGTTGCAAGGAAACAATGGTCTTCAAGCTCTCCGACGCCGACCCCTCGCTTGACAAAATGGACAAACCATTCCTGGATCTTCTTGCTGGAGCGTCTCGGCACACAGGAAGCAGAAAGAGACCAGCTTCGGCCATGGATGCTGAAACGGTCGCAGGCCCGCGCAACGAAGGAGAGGTAGACGTCGGACGCGAACTACTGCATCTACTCCAAAGGGAAGTTGATGAAGCTCTTCGTGATGTAGACTCCAAGACGAACACTGCCTTCGTGTCAACCGTCTGTCCTTGCTGTCCGTGGCGTCGCTTCGACAAAAGAGCGCATCTTCGACAACATCTCCGATCGCAGCGCACCGAGGCCAAGCGATATTGTCCTT